AAAATTTGTTATACTTTACTCTTCAAAAAAATAGCATATAAATGTATGACAATAGTTCAAAATCTAAAAGAATGCAAAAAAAACAAAACAATCGTATTAGCACTTGGAGGTCAGTTATCTTTCAGATCTGAAATCGCGCATAATAATTTTATTTCCTTCAAGTTTTGGACTTCCATGAAGTACTGAGTACCGTCATATTTTAATTATTTTGAGCTTGCTTTGAATTTGAAAAGTGAATATTTATTTAGCATCAAAGTCACAATCAACTCTGAAATCTATATACAAATTCACTTAACTAGTGAAGACCTAGATTAAATTGAACTCTGAGCCATTCCTAAGATCGAAACGAGTATTTTATTTATTTTAAAAAGCATAATATATCGTACGAGCATTGAATGCAGAGCGAACTGTAGGATAGATATGCAAGCAAATTACCTCAGTAGCCAGAACTGAGATTGATATTAAAAGTATATTAAAAGTGCGGAAATCGAGCTGGTCTCCTATTTAGAGCCAGTTCAGAGCACAAAAATTTATTCTTAAAAATGGCAAATATCTTGCTTGCAACTAGTTAAAATCGTATGAAATAAGTGTTATTCAGTCAGATATTTCAACTGTTTTCCATTTTTTATATTTTTTTGATTTCTTTATCCGGCTTATGTCTTTTCAATTTACTGCCAAGTCATGTTAAAAACAGTTTTAAGTATCATATATTGATTATTATTATTCAAGTTTCTTTGCAGAATTATTGCGCGCAGCAAAACGGGCATCTTATCTACGTGAACACTGCTGAGGAAAACCTTTTTATCGTTGACATCCTACATAAAACTAAAGGTAACGGAGGGTAAAAATGTTATTTATAAATTATATCGCACGGATTGAAACCGCAGATTAGAATTTATTTAGAAATTTCTATTTTTTCATACATTCAAATATTTATGTACCGGTATTACCACCGTCGCAACACACGGGTACTGCTGATTCCACTGGACTACATTAAAATAACGTCCCGATTACCCTTAGGGTACCGAAGATGATTTGTTACAACTGCAGGGCGGTATAAATGAATCAATTAATAAAATAGATAGATAAATAAGCAAATATATAGACAAATATGTTGATAGATTGATGCGACTGATCATAGACAGTAAGGACGGTGAATAAAGTAAAGTTTTAGCTGCACATAAAAAGGCTTTATTGTATGATCTAAAAATAGCTACAACCTCATTGGTACTAACAGTAGTCATAAAATCATATGCACAGGGTTTAGTGTTATATAAATAGATTGGTACTCATTTTCACTGACCATACATCGTAGACTGTGCGCATTAAACAATAATTGTAAGGTTTTGTTCTTAATGACATATTTCTCGATTAAGATATCATTTCTTTACTTTAATAGTTAAACTGCGATGAGTATAAGCTTTAATTACTTTGTGTATGGAAACCACCATATCGACTATAACTAAACTGGTTCCATATTCAAAGCGCGGCGCATTTGAATACGACAAAGCTTGGAGTCACGTTTGGATTTGTCGAAATATTTTGTAAATCGAGTAGAAAAGGCGATAGTTTTGATTTCAATTTCGTCTGTTGTGTTGTTTATATGAAAGATTAAGTTTTAAATTGTCCATGTTCGTGGAGAATAATATGCACTGTGTCGATAGACAAAAGGATTGTGTAAAACTATTGTAAATGGAATAAGATACAAGGTGATTTGGATCGAAGGTGTGCGGATTTTTTTCAGGACACATTTGTATCATGTGTATTATTATACAAGTAACGATGAAATATGATTTTTGTCTAGCTACTACTCCGTAGATATATATAGGGATCACTTCTCCGTCGTCTGTCTGTCCGTCTGTCTGTCACAAAACTTGTCCGGACTACTCCTCATAAACTACTGGTGCAATTTCATCCAAACTTTACAGGAATGATCAGTACCAAGTCTCGTTGTGCATATTGTCAGCATTTTTTGGTTCAATGATTTTTGTTACAGTTATGACCCTTTAATAATTTTTATTTTTAAAGATTGTCCGGACTACTTTTCTTATACCACTAACGCAATTTCAATGAAACTTTACAGGATTGATCTGTAGCTCAAGTCCTTGCGCATATTGCACGGGTTTTCCGGTTAAATGATTTTTGGCCGAGTTATGGCCCTTTGATAAAGAGGTGTTTTTTTCTGTGTGTTGCCAGATACACAAAAGCATGTCCGGATTACTCCTCATAAACTACTGGTGCAATTTTATCCAAACTTTACAGGAATGATCAGTACCAAGTCTAGTTGTGCACTGTCCGTCTGTCTGTCCGTCTGTCACAAAACTTGTCCTAACATGAAATTGGCCATCATGAGGCGACACATGTGATCACTGATCGCTCTTGTTTTTTCAAAAAGCTTATACATTGTATTAAGATTTTTGACATATATGATAAGTACAAGTTAAATGTTGATGCTGCACATCAAAGACGCCGCCAAGTAATGTGAACAGTCACTAGTAATGTACAAAATCAGAGTTGAAAATCGTTCTCTATTACAGTTGAATATCCGAAGCACTTATTTATTTTTTCTCCATGTTCTTGGTATGTGTCTGAAATTCTGAAATGTTTGTCTGTTGATGTCTGGTCGAAGCAAAATGAATTGGATAACAAGTGCAATTGAAATTATTGGTAAACTTAAGGTGACAACGGAGTCAATTATCACTGAAAATACCTAAAATGAGATTTTTTGCTTAGTAGATTTATCAACCTTTTCTGAACACATTCGTGATTTAATTTTGGAAGCAGTTAGTCCAAAAAAATGTGTTTTAAACGTTTTAAAACGGTAACTGTACCATTTTTTTTATCTGCTATTCGCGTAACCTGTCAATTATCGATAACGCTCCGCCCCCTGTTAAGGCATCAATGAGGGAAATCGGTAGTTCCATATATCCGTGAATTACCGGTCCATACTGGTCCATACTACTCGTAATTCATGTATCGTACAAATACCGTACATCTTTTATGAATATCGGCTACCTTTTTTTGGCATTTTTTATAAAATAAGAAATTGTCGGCCAATGTACGTAACATAATGTATGAAACATAAATAATTAAGCATAGCGGCAAATCGCACGACCACGGGGTTGATTAAAAATATAGTTGCTAAAATATCCATAATGTGTGAAAATAATTTGTCTGTCCCGTTAATCTGATAGATATTACATTGAGTTTATGGACTTTTGTACGGATTCAACGGCTTGCTTTACATTCAACCTCGTTTTCTAACAATGTCAAGTAAAACAACAACAAAAACAGACAACATTTTTTATGTGAACGCCTATATGACTTGTTGTAAGACCATTTAAGATTGTTTAAGGATGATTATTTCTCTATGAATCAATAAAAAAAAGATATTTATATATATTATCAGTGAATGCTTTGAATAAATTGTTCTCCAGTAAATCGAACACAGTACTAATTAATAAACCTGGGACAAAGTATGGAATTTATTGTATATCCCAGTACAAACTGGATCTCTATGCCGTGCATAGATGATTTTCATGATAATATAAGTCATGCAAGAAGGTCAGATCATAATGATCGAGCGATACCGTTTATTTCTATTAAAATATGTGAAGCATTTATATCAATTTGGAGGAAAATAATATATAATATCCCGTTCTTATTTGTACATCTACCATGGCCTTTAAAATACCGTCAGAAGCTCAGTTTTTTTTTTTGTTATTTTAATTCATATTTTAACGGAATTTCATGCACGAATACACAGACAGAGTGACACTGGTATAATATAATAATAATGCTGATGATAATAATAAACTTCAAAAGTGAAACAATTAAATACCCCGCTAGCGGTGCGCAAATACGTTCCATTTTCCCCCACCGAGTGCCTCAAATTTTACCGAAAGTCACGTGACATGTGCGACCGATACCATACGGACAGTAAATCACGTTAAGAATTGAAGAAATTTCGGCTATAAACTGATATTAATCAGCAACTTTTTAATTGGTCAGATGTCACTGGGTCATAAAATGTTGTTAGAGTATGTAACCGCAACCTGTGACCTGCTTTGGTGCGATATTTGTGTATTACATGTATGCAATTATTAAGCGTGAAACGTAGGGGCCGAGAGAGAACAGCCGATTTATGACACTTCATTTGATGCGGGTCGGACTAACTTTGAATCGGCATAACTTTTTTAATAATCAAGCAATTAACATGCGGTTTAAAGCACATGAAAGGGAATTCATTTACGGAGGGAACCGTGTCAGTGATTTTTGTTTGCGCAATCAGCGACTTAATTATCTTTAATTACGTAATATGTATGGTGAAAAAAGTCGCATAAAATGTTTGACGTTAAATAATATTTTTTTGAGAAAAGATAGAAACAATTTGAGACACGGTTCCCCAGATATTATAAGTATAGGCCAATAAAGCAATGCACCTTCTATTTACAAAAACAAATAACTCAGACCTACCCCCTGATCTAATAATAAAGTTATTTGATTACACTGTTATGCCGATCCTTACATATGGGTCAAAAATTTTTGGTTTTGAAAATCTAGATTTACTTGAAAAAATCCATAACGTCTTTATGAGACGAATAACGTCGGCTAGGAAAAGCACCCCAAAATATATGCTCTACGGTGAGCTTGGAAGACATCCGATTTATATTAATGTATATGCTAAAATGATCTCTTTTTGGTCACGTTTAGTGCTTGGAAATGAAAATAAACTATCCGTTAAAATTTACAATTACATGTTAAATCGGAATGATACTGAATTCAAATGGACAAGTAAAATTAAAGAGATTCTCGTCAATGTAGGAAGACCTGATATTTGGCAAAACCAGCAAATTTTAGTGCATAAAATATCCACAAAATTGTACAACAAACTTTAATTGATCAATTTAAACAAAGTTGGTATAATGATCTACAAGCGTCGTATAAAGGTAGAATTTACAGCTCATTTAAAAACACTTTAGAATACGAGACATATTTCAATATACTCCCAAAAGAAAGCTACATAACCTTATTTAGATTTCGTACATGTAATAATCGTTTACCAATTGAAACAGCGCGTTGGGGACGGGGAACCGCTTTTCTAGATAGCACGTGTAGACTCTGTAACTCCGGAGATATAGGCTCGGAGCAACACTATTTACTTAAATGCTCATTCTTTAATACAGAAAGAAACTCCCTCCTACAGCAAACTTATATTTCAGATACCGTCCATTGTTTTGCAAGAATATTATCAAGTAGAAATGAAAATAATCTTTCTAATTTAAGTAAATTTACCGGCATTATTATGTCTAAATTTAACTAGCATAAGTTATGCCATAGAAGAAATAACTGCGTTCCTTTTTCTTTCTTCTTTTTATCTTTATCTAAATGAACGTGTAATCATCTTACAGCACTTAGACATTGTGTATACATTTATAATAGCTACCGTTTTCCGACAAAAGAACTTTACCTTTGTAATAAATCCATGTAAATATTGCACAAACTTATGAATGACATTCTTTTTTGTTGTAAAATTACATGTATTAAGTCCATGATTTTCACGTGCATAGCCCACAAACTCTCCCTACTTAAAGAAACTACATTATTATTATTTTTTTTTTCTCTAGAAATCTTTTAGTTGATCTAAACAGTTCATAGAAAATATATATTTGCGCAAAGCACTCATTGGTAGCAAATATAATTAATCATATCATTATTGTTGTTAATTAAACGTGTTTTATTACGAACTATTTAACATTGCGAATTGTATATGTACTTAGGCTAACGATTTAAGATTACAGGGGCGTACATGTAAGATTATTATTTATTCTCCTTGATAAAGGATGATATTGATTTATATGAATTTAAATTATCTCTATTATTAATCTCACTTAAAAAACACACTTCATTTTATTTTTCTCTCTCTATAATTGTGTAAAGTACAATACATGTAGTATAATTTATGACTTAAAAGTCTCTATATAGCATGCTGATCACATGCAAAATTTTGTCTAATGTATAGGATATTATTTAGTAAATGTATGTGTTTATGTATTACTGTACATTGGAATGTTTTTTTGATGTTTTTCCAAAGGATAACTAGCATAAAAAATGTTAATGAAAACACTCTAGTGTGCTATTGGTCATTACTTTTTTCTTTTCTTTTTTTTTCTCTTGTTTTAACATAGTAATGATTGGAACACATTAACATTAATGTCTCTTTTCCATGATAAGTCAATTAAAAAAGTTTAGTTTTTTTTTCTCTTGTTGTTGTTTTTTTTTTTAATACTTATATAGATAAGAACTATATCATCAGATGAATAATGTTCATATTAAATCTTTATTGAAGGATTCCCCCAAAATTAACATCTTTATCTATAAATGTTACTGAATCTTCATTCTATTTTGAATTAAAACACTATTCATCAGCTGATAAAGTACTATCGGAAGTTTGTTTATAATATTGTATCTGTTTATATAGTATATCCCCATGTTGTATTACCATATACCCTGGGAAAGAAATAAAGAGATATGTTCTGTTCTGTTCGGTTCTGTTTATTTTCCAAAAGTTTGATAACAAAAAAATAAAAAATGACTTTGATATGACGATTTAAAATTTTAGGATTTTTATTAAAAATCAATCATTTACAGAGGCATTTTTTTCAAATATGTTATTTTTTATGATGATCAGCGACATTTAAAGCACAAAGATTAAATAAATAACAATTATTACTAAAATAAGTTGGTTTAAATGACATTTATGTGAGTACAACGGAAAGTGTCTGTTGTCACCTTAAAATAAATTCAAGACAATATGTGCCGTGGATCGTAAGAAGGAAAATCAGCAATCTCTTTCCTCGTAATATCACTTTGAATTCATTAATATCGACAGATTCTGGCATGGATCAAAGGTGAACTGTGGTACGAAATGATTTTAATTAAGATACAGTGAGGTGCTTTTCGTATCATTTGATATTAGTTAAATGTTAAAGACTTGGGAGAAAAGGACAACGTTGACACTGGATATGATTTTCAGATTTAATGGCAGTATATGATGAAAATATCTGAGTGTCTGAATACAACAAAAATAACAAACGCATACATGTATATAATAAATGGGTATTGTCTGAAACAAAATTTCAGACACATAAAACTAAAACTGAGAACTCTTCTTAATAAAAATGAATTGATGTACATGGCTAACCTATTAAAAAATCAATCTAAGTTCTTTAATTTTATTTCTATAGCTTCTTCCAGCTGGGTTGGAATATCTGACATGGATGCAGAGGGATTATGGCAGTGGTAAATAATTTCTTAATGTATTACATGTATTTAGAAAATATCGAATGAGTGTATGCATGAACTAAATGAACTTGTATAATTCGAGTTACTCAAGGAGGTAAATAATTTCTGTTTCACAAAAACTTATATATATCACAAACCATAAAAATGACCTGTTTGCAGTTCTGTTGAAAACATTTTATCTTTCATTAACACCCTTACACAGTAACGTAATACATGCTTACACTTCATATGTCATTTTGAATAGCTGCACAGGTGTGCCATAATTGTCAAGACGTTAATTCTTTAAGCAATTTAAGCTTTATTACCTCTTTTCATTTGGTTGTGCATGTAATATTTTTTAAACGGTATTTCTTCTGAAATCACTTCAAATATTTTAAAATATATATATCTAATAATTGTATGCTACAGCCTTAAAACATAAATATGTTTATACATTTTTGCGTGTACCTTATTTTATGAATAATATGTTCCTTACAAAGAGCCGGAATAGTTCATCAATTTACCTTGATAATGTTTTTATTTTACTCACATAGTGTTCAAATATCCGACAATTCTATGTATGTGTATTGTTGTTTTTGTTTGTTGTTGTTTTTGTTTGTTTGCTTGTTTGTTTGTTTGATTGTTTGTTTGTTTGTTTGTTTTTGTTTTCTTTTCATGCCATATTTCTCTTTACAGATATATAAGAAAATCAATTAAAAATATTTTTTTAAAAATCTTCATTTAGTGCATAAATTAAAGTTGGCTATGTATGCATATTATCTTTATTTTGATGTTACTATGAAATAATACAAAACTGCTATCACTATAGATAAAGTCACAATCTTTACAGGCAGAGCGTCACTGATCAATGGTGATACGTTTAAAAAAAATTCTTTCTGTCTAAACATTGACATACCTTATACCACCGGTGTGGGATTTTACTTTGGAATTCTTTCATGCCAGAACGCGAGACAGCTAGATAACAAAATGTCGGTGGTTCTACTCAGGTGCCGTTAGTGCCTGAAAAAATGCACGGAAGGACACCTGATGGCATCCTCTACCAACGGCAAAGTTTGCTTGAAAGTCGTCAAATGACCTGTCAGTAACCACCCTCCCACCACCTTAAAATATAATATTTTCAAATATAATCAAATTTAACCCCTACCTAGCCAAATATCTTCAATGGATTTGACCATCTGTCTGGAAAAAAACCTTTATCTTGTTTGAAAGAAAATTTCAAAGTTATTACGACAGAATGGCCAATTAAGCAGACCATGGTCTTCACTAGTCGCATGGATTTATATTCAATTGTCATCAGCAGTCTTTGATTTATTGACAGGTACGGTACGTCACAGAAACCAGAATTCACCTACTGGTTCCCAGGGGAACCAGGGGGAGGTCAGCCTGAAGACTGTGGGGTTTATACTGCCCATCATCCGGACTTTAAATGGGATGATTACTCATGTGACCATCACTTTCAACCAATCTGTGAATCAAGGTAACTTTTCGAAGCAAATTTAAGGTTATGTGACAATCATTGCAACCAACTATTCCACACTTTGTTTAGTGCTTTGCCTTCTTATTAACAATTGCATTTTAAACATAATGTTCTTTATCCCAAAAAAGATTCAGCATCATCATGGAAAATGAGTGAAATAATGATAAATGAGACATTACTGTGCTGGTCCACAAGTTTAAAAATGTTGACGATATTTGTTGAAGCCGTTGATTAGTTATTTGCATGCGTATTGTTGTGTTATTAAAGGAATATGTAATTACTTTCTCACGATAAACTTATTGATAAATTATTTACTTTATCCTAAAGACATTTACAATCGATAATATAGCCGCCCTTTTAATTGACTGATTTTGAATAAGTACCGGGTACTTAAAAGGAAACTCGAAAAAACAACAACATTGTGTTGTTCAGAATTTTACATTCATTTGAACATTTTGAATATCAAAATATTCAATACATATTATGCTGCTTATTCTGATTTGTGCGGGAAGTTTACAAGCGTCTAAAAAAGCTTGATTAAGGGTTATAAATGTAAAATTGGTAAAAGGTACTAAAGTGGTTCTGTTTGTTTATTTTGTTTCTTTTTTGTGTTTTTCTTGTGTGTGTGTGTGTGTGTATGTGTGCGTGTGCGTGTACGTGTGTGTTTATTTAATGAAATTTCCGCCAGACGTTCAAATTGCAGTTAAGTAGTAAAACATGAAGTAACCAAAAAGAACTTCTTTTTGTCTTTCAGTACCAATGGCGTTGATTCAATTGTCGGCAAATAAGTAAATGTATGTGAAATATAGCTGTAAAGCAATTAATAAATTATTGAAAAAGCAGAGCATTTGTTTGCTTAATGGAATCAACAAGAAACCGCCCACAGATTAAGGCATGCAATACACCACTTGACTTTTCAACTCCATTTTGTATGACTTTTCGACCCCTAGTGGATTAGGCATGTCGATCATGCTATCATTTTACTCTACTTAAGACGACCATAAAGATACTTTGAGAAATATTTTCACTTTATCTAATTGTGTGAATACGCATATCAAATAAACACCAGTCGCGTGTCATTTTAATTAATCACTTATAGGTAATTAACAGCCGAGTGTGTAAAACATATCATCCTGCCAATCATTAAATTGCTTCTGTGCTAAATAAACACAGTAGCTGCATTTCAAAATTTACGGAGATGTTGTCGTTTGCCATTTTATTACCTTTTCTTAATTTCACAGAACAAAAACATACATATCTTGCTCATGAAATACTTTTTTTACTTATTATAACGCAATTTAGACATTTAGACGTGTTAATGTAAAAAGATGACTTCTAGACCCCTTTATTCTTAGACCCTTTCTACATGAATTTGTTACTTTTAGGGGTAAGAAATTTCGATCCATGTATCATCTTTTTGTATTTTAGAAGGTCATAAAGATACTTCGAAAAATACCTTTAAGCAAACTTTATGGTTAATATTTTTTTCATATATTTATAATTATATTTCATTACAAGATCCAACAAAATACTGAAAGGTAATAAAAAAATAATATTGTTTTCAATATAGATTATGTTTATTTGTTACATACCAGTAATAATATATATCGATGTTTTTTTTTAAGCTGGGACTTAAACAATTCCAAATAAAGTCCTAGACAAAAAGTAAAAAAAAATGTGCATAGAGTGTTTATTCATATTTACAATATTTACAAATATTTAGTTTATGTTTTCGTCTGAAACATGTGTTGTATTGGCGATGAATTTTTACACATTTCTACCTAATAAATGTTATATATTTTAAATAATAAATATTGTTCGTCCTCCCTTTTGCTAATGTTTTATTTTTTATCATTGTTATTATAAAATATCGATTCTTAAAAAGTACAAGAACCCTATGTTCTACCTTTATTTACTTCAATTTATCGTTAGTTCTATGTATTTATGAAAACTAATACTTTTATAAAGAGAAAAGTTTACCTTTACATGAACTTGATATCTCCTTAATATAACCTAATTTTTTACAGCAAAAGCAAATTATTCTGGAATAATGGAATGAGCGAATGTTCTGAAATTTTGCACGAGACCTTTATCAAATGATACATGAAACTTGAAAAAAAACATTGTCGTCATGACAAAAATACAAACTCTTGGATTACTTTTTAACAAATAACTTGTCAGGAATTTTTGTGATAACTGTCCCGGAGTTCGTTGGAAAACTATTGTATACTATAAAACATATCAAATAGGTAGTTTTCGTCTTAAAAAGTAAGTTTTAGGTGCTTAATTAAATTTTAATGATTAAGCTTGTCTTACATGTTGTACTATGTATAAAAAAAAACTAATTCATAGGCCGTTTTCATTACCTCTTGTTTTAAATCTGGCATTTTTGAGTATAATTTCCAAAGTATGTGCCAATTTGCAAGTAATTGACCTGTTTATTTCTGGTCTTCACCTTGCCATACATGATTTCCTAATTGTAATGCAAAATTTTAAACATAAAGCCCCGGTAAACAAATTCATACCCGAATGCCAAATGTTATGGTACTGCCAGTGTGTTTCTTGCGCTAAATCACGGCACGTTGGAGCGTATTTTTTATTATTCAATAAGGTTGTAAATCATAATGAAATGACGTACTCTCATCCTTTGCACAAAAATGAGGATAATTGTCAGACAATATATTAATGTAGTTGTACTTCCCTTATCTAAGGGCTAAATAATTTGTATCATGTTATACCACAATAAAGAAGTATTTATCAAGGTCAATCTTCACACCTATGAATCCAGAAAGTATGATACATGATAAAAATCTCAATTATATATTATATAATGTTGATTTTAAATGTCTGCAAATTTTAAATAGATGAAGATCTACAGTAAAAATTGAATCAGTGGTCACCGATATTCAGCAGTATCATGGGCTAAGCCGCAAAACAAGAATGTCTTAAAACGTAAATGTTGTTCTCAGGTTCACTTGTTTGAAGCAAACACCTTTCTAAATCAGACAATATATACATGTTCTTGTGTTTTCCTTATCTATGAACTAAGTAATTTGTATAATTTTATACCATAATAAAGAAGTATACAACCAGGTAAATCTTCACATCTATGTCTCTAAAATGTACGATATATAATAAAAGCTCTGTTGGCTCTAACTACCGATCTCTCGAACAAATTTCCACGCCCCTCCGGGTTCGAGGACACTAAGTTTGACTATAAATTATGTTATCAATTACAGCAAAAAATAGCAGAGTTGTCTCCACGAAGTTTACATAAGAAAAATACCCATCAAATATCGACAGAAAAAAAAAACGATTTAATGTTAAATGACAATAAATTTTACACGGTATTACTTTTGTACATCTGGATAAGTATATTAAAGGTAATAATGCTCACCTAGTTTAAAGTCGGTTATTTTAAAGATATGACATCGAATTTTGAGTTTTACTTGACTACTTTAATGAGCAAAACTCATCTGCACTATGGAGACTCATATAAGTCACGTGATGCTAGACTGGATATAACAAAGAAAGAAAGGTCAATCATCGGCATGAAACCCAAGGTGACTATAAGTAAATACTTTGTATTGTCATATCATTGTCATATAATTTGCTACGTCTCTATGGCAAAATCTTTTAGACATTCTGTACACGTAGAATACCTTAAGATGATCCACCTCATTAAAGTTTGATATAAGTAGTGCATACTATTTCTTATTTTGCTGCAAACTATTAATATATAATTTGTTTTGCTTCTGCAAACCAATGGGATAGTTATTATAACTTTTTTTATAGAAAGTAACACAAGAAAATATACCATCATAGAAAACAAATAACATATCTTAATTTTAAATATGGCCTTCTAAACAATATATAGAAACATCATAAAACAATAACAATTATTCAATTAGGATTTTGCCCTATCACTTTTTTGACAAACGCTCCTTTAAGATATAAAATATAATTTATACAACATTCATTTACAAATATTTCAACAATATACATGCATAATAAGTATTACAACATCATGACAGAGTTATGATTTGCAAGATATGTTCTTTATACTAATTTTTAAAAGATGTCAGATAATTAGAAGAAGGTATTCTATTCACCAACAAAATGTCCTTTATAATGTATACATGAAGACACTTTGCTGAGTATCGCTTTTAAAGCACATTTTACCACGAAAGCTAATGCTATACATCAATCTATTTTCCAGTCTACAAAAACTGCGTCAGCAAAAATATTTTAGAAGCGAAAGAAAATATCTCTTGAACTAAAATAAACTCAAAAACAAAATTATTATAATCATAAGGATGAGCGTACTACATTTCATAATGCTTTACAACCTTATTAATCTTAATAAAAACGCTAAAACGTGCCGAGATTTTGCACAACAAAAAGACTGGCAGTAACAAAAGTTATATCAAGAACTCTAAGACATTTTTTAGTTATCACAAGAACTCCGTGACATTCAAAAAGTTGTGTATAAATTTGTAAGCCGGGGCTTTATGTTTGTAATTTTGCATTATAATTGGGCAATAATGCATGGCAAGGGTAAAGACCAGAAATAAACAGGTCAATACGTTCGAATAGGCAAATTATTTGTAAATTTAATTCAAAACTACGAGATTTTAAACATGAAGCAATGAAAAATGATCTGGGAATTAGTTTTTGTCAAATAATACAAGACGTAAGGCAAGCTGCTTAATCATTAACGTTTTATTTAGCACCTAAAACTCACCTTTTAAATATGAAAATTACCATTTTTGACGAGTGTTTTTGATATGTATACATAAGTTTTCTGATAAACTACGTGATAGTTATCACAATAACTCCAACCTTCCTGTAACAGTTCCTCCCCCGTGTTGTTGAGGGACTGCAACACAAATGGTCATTATTATGACTGCAGGTGTGACACGTGTAACTGAATATATGCAAGTTCAATGTCACTTAAATTATGAAATATAGAGATATTGTCCAGAGCATAACTCCTACATGTATGGTAGATTTCTAATAAAACTTCATAAAAATGTTCACCACCATAAGAAGCAGATTCACGGGCATGATCAAGATCACTAGGCTAAAGGTTAAGGTGATACTTACATGTTGTTAAAAATGTATGTTCAGAACAAAACTTCTTAATTCATAGGGGCGTTTTAATGTCACGTGACACAAATGTTCACCATTTTGAGTGCATAATCCAGGTCCCTGCTACCAAAGTCAAGGTCACATAAAGAGGTCAAAGTTGGAAGATGTGTACAGGGACAATTTTATAGACATCATTTATTGATGAATTGTAACACAAATGATAAATATTATGACTACAAGTCTGACAAATGTAATTAAGGTTAATATTTTTATTGAATTATATTCATAGCACAGAAATGAGTGACTTCACTTAATGCATGCATACACTCATTCGATATTCTCTAAATACATGTGATACATTAAGAAATTAATTACCACTGCCATAATCCCTCTGCATCCATGTCAGATATACCCAGCTGGAAGAAGCTATAGAAATAAAATTAAAGAACTTAGATTGATTTTTTAATAGGTTAGCCATGTACATCAATTCATTTTTATTAAGAAGAGTTCTCAGTTTTACTATTATGTTTTCAGACAACACCCATTTATTATATATGCGTTTGTTATTTTTGTTGACACTCAGATATTTTCATAATATACTGCCATTAAATCTGAAAATCAAATCCAGTATCAACGTTGTCCCTTTCTCCTAAGTCTTTAACATTTAACTAATATCAAATTATACGAAAAGCACCTCACTGTATCTTAATGACAATCATTTCGTACCACAGTTTACCACAACATCATTCGTAG